CAATTGTAAAATTAATTTAGGGTGGTACACTTGTATGGGTGGTATTACTGATTACCTACCTGTATGATGTACCTGAATAGCATAAATAGCTTTAGTTTTGAGTAGTTTCTAGTTTTATCTTCCTCTTGAAGATGATCACTTGTTGATCGAAACACGTGTCGAGGTTTAAAAATAACGATTTGGTGTTGGGAAAAAAACTCCAGTAATATTTAGAATTTCATTTGCCAAATTCAAGACTGAGAGTGACGTCATGTGCACCCTAATAGATGGGAATAAAATTGTTCAATACTCTTCTTGATCATTTGAGGCAAAAACATAATTTACTCATATTCGAGAGAAATTTTGAAAGTTTTGTATTTGAATAATGTCTCTCTTCATTTAAAGAATTTCCAGATATTAAGATAGACTGTGCAATTTTTAATCGTAAGTCTTCATCTATCGTTTTTCTTTCATGCAATTTGTATTGTCTATGTGGAAATGAAGTATAATAATAATAACTATTAGATCACTTCCTTTTTTTTTCGTTTTCTTTGAAGTTTTACAGTGTTCTTATTTATCAAACGAAAAAAGAAATGAAATATCTGATTAACAATTTGAACAGGATAAACCAATATGGATTAGTTTATATCAATAAATCAAAAATTGTGTGAAACTTCTACTTACTTTGTCCTCATTGGTAGTTAAAATCAAAACGGTAGCGCTGGTATCAAATTGCGGCCGACCTGCTCTACCAATCATTTGTTGAATTGCAACTTCTGTATAGTCCCGAAAACCACAATTATCATAGCACTTTGTTGATTTTATGATAACTAAATGAGCAGGTAGATTGACACCCATTGCCAGGGTACTAGTTGTCACTAAAACTGGCAACTCTCCTCTACGAAAAGCTTCTTCTATAGCATGTCTCGTTTCGGGAATCAAACCTGATAGCAAAATATAAAGACTAACAATATAAAGTTGGTCGTTCATATCACTAATGAAATACATTATAGAGTGTGGTTTTGGGTCAATACCATTGCAATTAAAAATATATCTTAGGAACACAACCTTTACGAAGAATGTGAACGGTCAGTGATAACTGAACTAATTTCTGGGTTTATTGGCCGTCTTTGCAAGTTTTTTATTGCAAAGTTTCGTCTACAACTACGGAAGTAGAAATTATCAATGACTGCGAAGCAACAGAAGTAGTGCTCTAGTTGTCCCCACAGCACCAACTTTCAAAACTACAAAAATAACTTTTTTCTATTCAGTTTGTACTCCAAACATTCATTTGGAGTACAAACAATTCAGATATCACTCATAGGAACGCAACATAATTTAATATATGAAAGAAACAATATGTATTTCACTTATATGGAACACCTTCATACTCAATGGCGGTCTTTGAAGTTTTGGAATAAAACATTTGTCCTATTGCCTCATCAGGCATAAAAACATGCACAGCACCCCCAAAATCCCAGAAAATAGCTTTCACACATAAGTAGATTGTCTCATCCGCGACATAAAGTCGAAATTAAAATTAAAATGATTGCTTGATCTTGTAATATTATCCAGAACGGTGCTGATATGTCTTCGAAGTCCACCATTGCGGATGATAGTATTCCATATAAATGACATGGTTTCTTAATCTTATGAATGAAATGAGTGCTTCGTCTTGTAATATTATCCATATTATTCAAAGGTCATGAGGTGATAAAACAAGTGTCTTATCCCAAAACTTCTATGTCTGTCATCGAGGATGATGGTGTTTCATGTAAGTTGAATCTTTTGTTCCATTAACCATGTAAGTGAATTTTGATATCAAAACTTTCCATATAAGAACATCAGCCGGGACTTTGTTCTTATCAATCGCTAACTATTTCATATTGATATGTAACTAATATCTGATTCAATTCCATAACAATTGAATAGATAAAAGTGATTTTTGTATACTTCAATATTTTTATGAAAGTAGGGCATTTTCTTTTAGTTTGTATCTGAAAGTAACTTCTACACATCTTTGTAAATAGTTTATTTTGAAATTGATTGCTTTCTTTGGAAGTTTCCTCATAATTATTTGTATGAAACCAAAGAAGTGAAAGGCAAAAAAAATGTTTCCATCATTTTTCTCCTTATAAAACAATATACAATAATATAGAATGAGTTTCTCCTCTGACGAGCCATTCTGGCGTTAACTTTCCAATTTCAATTGAGGGCCAAGTTGCTTGGAGAGACTTTTGATTACCACTGACATTTGTCTTAGCTGATGATTAGTGTTTTTGTTTAAATATTCACCTACTTCACACATAAATCAATGAAAATATTCTCGGACAACCAAGCGGCGGTGGAAGCATATAAGTTGGTAAAGAACTCCCAAAAACACCCTCTCCAATGGGAAGACTCAACAAACTGTATTTGGTCTGAATTCCTGGCCACAACTGCCTGGAAGATAACGACGCTGTTGAGTCCCTTGCAAAAAGGGCGCTGCAAGCAATTTCATCAAACCATTAATACATCCTTTCAAGTATGTTACCAAACAATTGTTGCAATACAGCAGAAATGACTTCGTCTAACAGGTCAACTTACAGATCACAGTCGTTTGAACCGTCATAAGCAGATACTTAGACTGTTGGAAGACAATGTCTGCCTTCTCTGTTTGGAAAATGAAGACACAGCACATACTTTGTGTCTGCTTCACTGCAAACTGAATCAGTTTTCAGAGTTTCACTCTAGTCATCTGTTCTGTAAGAGGATTCAACAAATAACCTTATTGGCTTTGTTGAAAAGCTGGACTCATATGAACAAATGGAAGTGTTCGACTGCTATTCAATATTATATGAGGTGGTGACAGGGTTTCAAAAACACAGAAACACTTTCAAATGAAAGGAAGAGGAAATTGACATAAATAATGACTACCCACCCTCAACAACACACGAATCAGGTCATTCAATCAACCAATATTATTCAAGGTACGCCCACATAGACATGAACCCCCAACATTGTGAGAACAACTAAAGCTTCGTGTGCATTACCTCATCGTTCTCGATGTCTATCGCAGCTGCAGACAGACGAAATGTCAGGCATGAAAATTTGCAGACTACGGACAACAAATCCGGAAAATAGCTTTAAAACAAAACCTTTTCAATTATAAATTTTATAAATCAGTACAAAATACATACCCGCATGATGATATCCAATCCCATGTTTGACAGTCTCCCTCACTTTTACGTCACTGATCATATTGGCAATATCACATAATCTCTGTAACTGAGCCGGGTTGAGAGATATATTAAGTGATTGAATCAAATATTTAGCAGTCATTTCCACACTCTTTCTGGTACTACAGAATATCTAAAAATTATAATAGATAAAAAGTCAGCGATCAGCCCCTTGTTATCAAACTACGTATGAGAGCATCACAAATGGGTTACAAAACGTTGATGACTGACATCTTCTTCAACTTTAATTATTATTAATGAATACTATACAAAATCTCCATACATTATTATCAATAAAAGCCACAAATTTGATAGAAAAAAGAAAACTAAAAAAGTTATTTTATGAATTATACAAAAAGATAGCATATGCACTCATAGCAGACAAGACCTATTAGCCTTGAACAGACAACGTGTTACCTCAGGGCTAGTACTAGAGTGCCACCAAGATTTAGCCAAAGCCTCGGTAGATAATAACATTATCCTGGATTAAAGGACACGACAGGGGTAAAGGTAATCACATTGATGACTCTCTAGCAAAGGAAGCAACTGGACTAAGAATTTTAGGACCCAGTGGCACCTACGGCCTGACGAATTCGACAATTGGGGAACTAGCCAAACGTTACACCCATGCTCAATCTCTGAAGAGATGAGATGAAATAAAAGGATGCAATCTTGCCAGGATCACTCTTGGCGATACTGGGAAGCTGGCGCCGAAGAAATATCTGGCGATGACCAGAAAAAATCTACCCTTAACAGTAGGATGTCTGACTGGCCACTGTCAGCTAAGGAAACACCTCCATAATATGGAGCTAGTGGACACACCTCTATGCAGGATGTGTGAACAGGAAGATGAAACTGTCAGGCATGTCCTGTGCGAATGTCCGGAGTTAACGTCAATAAGAGAGTGTGTGTTCGGCGAGTCTTAGCCTACATCTGCCGATATAAAGGAGATGTCTCCTAGTGACCTGTCCACCTTTCTGGAAAGGATAGGATGAACGATGACCTAGGAGGACAACTCCTCGGAAAGATGTACAATGGGTCACATGTGGCCTAAGTGCTTTGGGCCTACACTCACCCGTCCTACTTTACAGTCATAAAGAGTTTTACTTCAAAAACCTCATATTTTCAAATGGTTTCATATATTGCCCTTCTTTCTCTTATATTTTTTGTAGTCAATTAAGAATAACTATTCGTAGGTGTTATCATACTTCTCGGAAACAACAGAATATAAGGTGTTTTCTGCAAATTTTTTTATAGAAGACATCAAATTAACAAAAAAGATGAAGAACATACTTGATAATACAAAAAAAATCGTAGAATCGATAATTTGCTAAATTCATCATTTGATAGAACATTTTCTATGGAAATTAGAAGAAACCTTATTTGAAATATGTTATAGATAGATAGATAGATATATTTATTCAACTACGTTACATAATTTTTCTAGCAGGTCATATAAATAACAGTCTAATTCTAACACTAGGTTGTGAACATCTACACATAGTCATGAGTAAATAAATACTTAGATATTGAAAATAAAATGTAAAACAATATAGCACAAATAAACCATTTCATAAAAGGCTAATGATATCGTAAATCTACAACAACTTCAATAGCAAGATTAACAACTAACAGTCCCTTCTTAAATGTTATTAGTGTTGTAGATCATGCCCGAAAGAAAGAAAGTAACCATAAACCAAACGTGACTTAGCTAAGAGCGCGGAAATACCCAATGTTCCCTACCGCTCGAGAAGCAGCGCGAGTCATGCTACCGATGTCGATGGAACTTCGGCGAAAATATACGATGTTCGATTACGATATTTAAGCGCTGGCGGCGAGCGTATCGAGACAGTCAACTGGACGTTACAGTGCGGTACGCGAAATGATCTAGTAAGGCGATATACTTATATGAGAATAAACTTATACAATAATTTATCATATAAGTTTGAAAATGTCCGTATACGACGAAAGTGCAGTAACGTCAGTTACAAATAAAAGTGGTAAAAAACATAGAAAGTTTTATTTCTCTTTTCTTCATTTAATTATTCAGTGTAGTCAATTATTGGTGAACCCATGGGGGAAAACGTAACATTATTATATAATATTCTTCTACACTGTAAAAACATCTAGATTTGAAATACTGTTTCATTTTGATTTTGAACTGAATAAAATGAGGACTTCTTAAGTTTGACGAAATTTTATTACATAGATTCAAGTTCAAAGAATTCATTTTTGAAGTTGTCAGGCGCAGTTTGGGTATTTTCAATATGTCACCAGATCTAATGTTATACTCATGGTTGGTTATTTTTATGAATCTCCAATAGACAAATTATATATATGAAGATGGCAAAGGCATGATATTATATTTCATAAACAACGGTTGGTCGAATGCTGGAACATTTGCAATGATTCTCAATGCTTTTTTTTGTAATCGGAAATCATGTATTGCAGAACTGGAATTACCCCATAAAATAATGCCATAAGAAACTCTTCTATGAATCAGAGAATAGTAAATGTTGAGTAGAACATCTTCATTACAAATCTGTTTCATCTGCCTCGGAAGGAATATATGGGACAATATCTTTTTACATAGATTCTCGTTATGACTGGACCAACTTAATCTAGTTGAATTCCCAAAAGATTTACGGAACTTCCAGTTCGTATATTAGTCTGACTGGAGACAATAATGGTTTGAGTTTTCATTCTATTTAGTTTGAAATTATTGTTATTGTTCCATATTTCAGTTTCATCTTCAATTTGGTTAATAGTGGTACGGAAACTATCAATATTTTTTTGTGATGAGAAATAGATAGCATCATCCCCATATGACACCATATCATGAGGGTATATGTAAAAGAAAAGGTCATCAATAAATATAATAAATAAAAGTGGTCCCAAGACGGACTCCTGTGGGACACCATGTTGATTTTCCTGAATTTCCGAATTGCCGTTCTTTGAAGATACACATTGTTTCCTACCGGTCAAATATGAAAGAATTAAAGAAAGTGCGGGACCTCTTATCCCATAAAATTCAATTTTTTTCGAGGAGTTGGTCATGAGAGGCACAATTGAAAGGTTTTATGAGGTCAAATAAAATTAAAAAAAATTTATCATCACAGCGACAACTTGATAGACAGCGTTAACTGTTGATTTACCTGTACGAAAACCAAATTGGTGTTTATGAAATAGGCACTTAAACAGTTTTTTTAAATTATTTCGAAAACTTTGCCAAGGATACAGATTATAGGGATGGGTCTGTAATTTTGGGGGGTCTATATTATCACCTTTTTTAAAAATAGGCACCACTTTAGATAATTCGAAGGCAGTGGGAAATACACCTTGACAGAAACATTCGTTTCTGTCAAGGTATTTGTTACAATTTTTCAAATTTCGTTCATTAAGTATCTATGATACTGTTGTAAAGGAAATAACGCCGGCCGCTACTGGTAGTCATATTACAAATGGTGACGTAGCTAAGAGCGCGCGAATGTACGATGATTCCTCGCCACTCTAGAAGCAGCGAGAATAATGCTACCGATTTCAACGGAATTTCGGCAAAATTATCTAGCGCATTCGATTACGATATATAAATGCTAGGCGATAGACATTCAAATAATAGTTGAAGTTTTAGTTGAAGTGTTTGTTGTATTCAAAGTGAAATAAAGTTAACTTTGATTATTCAGTGTAATCAATTAATGGTCAACCCACGTGTAAAAACGTAACAATACTGCCACTCAAATTCCTACACATTTCCATGTAATGATAATTGCACTCACCAAAGTTGGTTTACCCTCCGAATGCTGTATCATTAGAAACTGCAGTTTATAAGTCAATGATAAGTCAAACTTGAATGGAGTCATTGTTTTAGAGTCGTATTTATAACCAAGAACAATTTTTTTCAGTTTAACTGGACGAACATCTTCTGAAAATCTGAAAAATTTAAAATACACTAAAAATATGCAATTTGTAATATGCAATATGCAATTTATCAAAAATACTACTTAGCAAGATTTGAATTTCTTAGCTTTGAGAATTCGCACATACTGGAAAAATTTCACATTCGGTGGTTTACCCACCCACTCTGCAATGTCCATAACATTAGGAATTGTAGCTGAAAGTGCTAAAAATCGAATCCTCTGGTGCCCTCCACTATTACCTACTAACAGAGAATTTTCTATCGTTTTCATTCTACTCACCTGCAATATAAAAATCAGATTATTATTTAACAAATACTTTATAATACAAAAATGATAGACGGAAGTAATGTAAAATAGTATAAGTAAGAAACTTTCAAAACATGTTTTATATATAGAATAAAAAATTCACAATAAAAAATTAGAATCTGAATAAAATTGTCATTTTTCTTTGATGATATACAGGGTGTAACATAAATACGTTAAAATATTCAAGTGACCCATTCCTGAGACAATTTTAAGAAAAAAAGTCTATACGAACTTGTGTCCGAAAATGCTTCGTTTCGGAGATACGGGGTGTTGGAATTGAATTTTTTTGTTCGCTTTTTGAAAATAACTCTTGCGAAAAAGAATTTATTTGCACAAAATTTGGTGCCCCGGTTTTTTTTTTGACGTGGGAAATCACAATTTCGTATTAATTTTCATGTAACATCTAAAGGGCGCCGCGTATGCTGTCATCATTTATTTCAAATTACCCTAACTTTTTTGACAGTGAACTTTTGGTACTTTTCATGAAAAAACCTAATTCCCACACCTTTTCCACCTAAAAAAGGTACACCTCCCCAACAACGCTTGAGGTGATCGTTTTCGAGATATTTACAATTTTCTATATCGATGCATATTACTTTAATTTGATTTCAATATTTTTTGTCACTCTCCGCTTGCAAATTAAGTTAATTAAATTGAGTATGTTTGTTTGTTTATAAAAATAGAAGTTCGCTGTCACATTTTTAACTATTAATTGACAAATTCACAGTTCGGAGTTTATAAAGTGATTTTTTGGTACCATGCCCGACTTTACGAATGGTAAAATGGCTGATATGGTTTTTGCATACGGCTTGGCTGACGGATATTCAAGCAAGGCCAGACGTATCTATCAGGAAAGGTATCCCCAACGCGTGACTCCTTGTGCAGCGAATCTTTTCCGGCGTTTTTCCGAATCTGGAAGCTTTGAAACAAATTCTGCAGTAGGACGGCCACGGACTACAAGAACTGTAGAATTGGAGGACGCGGTTCTCGAAGAAATTTGTGAACAGAGACAAGTAGAAGAAAAATTAGTCAAACTTTAAATGTGAGTCCTTATCATTGTCAGCGTGTCCAGGCACTTACGCTACGTGATTTCCAACCACGTATCAAATTTGCTCAATGGCTTCAAAGAAAAGTCGAACAACATCCGCAAATTTTATCGAAAATCCTCATCACAGATGAGGCTAATTTTTCAAGAAATGGTATCATGAACTTCCATAACAATCACATCTGGGCGGAAGATAACCCACATGCGATAACGCAAACTCATTTCCAAGACAGATTCTCTTTTAATGTATGGGTAGGCATAATTGGGTCCTATTTTCTCCCCTTACGTTTGAATGGAGATGCTTTCCTACATTTTTTGGAACACGAGCTTTCCCAACTTACGGAAGATGTTCCCATTTGTCTCCGAAATCTCTCTTGGTTCATGCACGATGGAGCTCCTGCTCATTTTAGTATGATAGCAAGAAATTTTTCAGACGTAGCATATCCCCAACGATGGAAAGGAAGAGGAGGCACTGAGCATTGGCCCCCGAGGTCACCGGACCTCAATCCCGTCGATTTTTTTCTTTCGGGGAAACCTAAAGTCACTAGTTTATGCTAGCCCCATTGAAAACGAGGAAATGTTAAGGGATCGCATCATAGCTTGCTGCGAAACGATAAGAAAGACTCTGGGCATTTTTCAACGGGTGCGGAATTCTTTGATGAGGAGAGCAGAAGCTTGTATTACTGTTGGGGGTCGTCACTTTGAACAGTTGTTGTAAGATGGTGATCGAAACACGTGTCGAGGTGTTAAAATAACAGTTTGATGTTGGAAAAAACTCCAGTAATATTCATAGTAATATACATTTTTGGAATCAATACCATTCAACTTTGGTCAACTATCTAGAAATGTCTACCAATAAAACGTGTTAAAAAGTTTCAATATATTATATAACTCTAGTGAAACTATTGAAGTATTCAATTTAAAAGTTTCACCAGAATGTCGAATTTATATTCAAAATGAAAAACCACCATACAAAGAGGGTGGCGACTAAAAAAGAAAGTAGGATCATGCCCGAGGAAGTTATTGCATACTGAAACACGTGTTTCAGATTTGTAAACTGTTCAGTAGAAATCTCACAATGAAGTGTTACTTGAATAAACAATTTTTGTTTGAGTAATGTTTTTTTTTTACTTTTTACATGTTTGTCATTTTCAGGCAAAAAACAAAAGTTCAACATTGATACACCTTCTACTAAATTAATTTTTATAATATATGTTATACATTACATTATATAAGCATAATATAACATATTATAAGCTAAATTTGATTATTATGCTAATCTATCATATTCGTTCCATTCACAAAACATCGTGAAATGACAATTATTTCAAAGTGCTATCATTATACTCGCATTTCCACTATGATAGATATATTACAGTGGTTGAGCATGCAGGAGAGGCTTTATTTTACAGCAATGGTTTTGATATTCAATTCAAAATGTTGTATGGACACTTGCCGCCTTATTTTGATAATCTCAAAGTATGGAAATATATCATCCTCTCCAGGAGAGGATGGTTTTGAAGAAGAACTGGAAATAATTTTACCTATTCTCATAAAATTGAATAGAGCTAGTCTGGCGTGGAACTATATACCACCCAGTTGGTTGGCAGCAAGGATGGTATATATACAAAAGTGGGTCGGAAAGACCCACAATCGGTACGACCAATCAGTAGTGTCCGACCGAAAGTTCGGTTTCGGTCGAGTTTCGGCAAAAAAACAAGTTTCAGTTAAGTTTCGGTTTCGGCGCCAAACCTGCCGAAACTACGACCGAAACCGAAACTGCATTCGGGAGTTCCCGCGCTGTGATCGGTCATGTTCGGCGCGTTGAATTTCATACAAGCGACGAAGACATTTTGCCGCGTCCACGTGCCTAACCATGTCGTGATTCGTGACTTACTTTGTGATTTACTTTGTTTATTACAGAAATATCAAGTACCTATTGTGATATTAGGTAACAACTTAAATAAGTAATTTTATGTTTAATATTTTTGAAAAACCATCAATAATATTGAAAATATTCAAAAGAAGGATCTACACCTACTCAAATAAACACCTTACCTATTTTAAGTATTTTTACAGTGCAATTAATATTTTTTCTTAAATAAGTGTTTGTTATGTTGATTATCAATAAGTAAAAATGCCGAAGACTCCATAACGTTGTGATTTAAAGATAAAACAATAAAGACTGACTGATTATAATAACGTTTTCTTTATTTTTCCCCCAAAACATAATCCTTGTAAGGAAGATTCGGTTTCGGCCGAAACTGGGACCATTGCCGAAATTCGTTTTCGGTTTCGGTCGTAAAAACCAGTTTTGGTCGGACACTACCAATCAGCCTTACATCCTTCCTGTTTAAAGGACCTGAGAGGATACTGGACGAAAACATAAGGACGGTGGCATATAATATGAATCCCCCCTGAACAACCAACAGTATGCTTAGCAAACCGGTAAATCGACATATTTAGCATTAAACAATCTTGTAGAGAAAACTTCCTAGTCCCTTGGCATTGACCTAGATAAAAAACTCACCTGGAACGCTCACTTGGAGAAAGTTTTACATCAAGCCAGAGTGTCCCTACGAACATGTCGAAGGATTTGTAGTAAAACTTGGGGATTAGGTCCCAAAAAAATCCATTGGATTTATGTGATGATTATCAGACCAATGATCACTTATGATGCAATTGCCTGGTGACCGAAGGCTTCACAGAAAACGGCCCAGGCGAAGCTCTCTGGCTTACAGAGACAGGCTTGTCTGGCCATCAGTACCACACCGTCATGCTGATCCTTCTAGATATATCTCCTCTCCACATTTTTCTGGAGAGAGAGGCTAGATGAACTGCATCTAGACTGGTGCACATTGCCAATTGCACAAATCAATTTAATGCAGAGTGCAACAGACTGTTGGTTGACACTGGAAGTCACAACATTCTGGAAATTACCTCCAACTGTCGATTACGAACTGCCTTATAAAGTACTGTTCTCGAGTAGAGAGGACTGGATCCTCCGGGTGAAGGAAATATTAAGAGCAGATAGTTGATGGGTCACAGATGGATCTGTTAAAAAAAAATCTGTTTCTGTTTTTCCGTTAACCAGCTGTCGCACCCCTACGAACGACAACCATCAGAAGTCGAAACTTGTGCGAGCTAAGGATTAACGAGGTCTTATCTTTTAACGTGTGATTCCTATCACGGGTTGGACGGTAGCAAGTGAAGATCGATCGTTCAGACTAGGGCTTGAACCACCGACCAACACGGCAGTCAATTCGAGTGAGTGAACAAAGCACCCACGCCGAACCGCTTGGCTACCGACTGACCTTATCAAAAACACCTTCCGGTTCTGGTGCAGGTGTTTTCAGTCGCAGACCCAGAACAGAGATATGAACCTGCCTAGGAACCTATGCGACTGTATTTCAAGCGGAAATTTACGCTATTGAAATGTGTGTGGTGAGATTGGAAGAATTAGACCTCATACACAAGTCAATAAAAATATTCTAGGACAGTGAAGCGGTGGTGGAAGCTCTTGGCTCTTACCGAGCAAAATCTAAATTGGTAGCAAATGCCAAAAACGACTCTCCTCGATAGGAATACTCAACAGATTGTCTCTGGTCATGCCACTGCCTGGCTGCTAACTCCCTTGCAAAGGTGCTGCAAGCAGCTTCATTCTGTCATTGGCATCGCTTAAGGCATTGCCAAATAAAGGTTATACACCTGGATGTCAAGAAAATTTATGGACTTCTGGCAGAATCTTCCAGGATTGGCTCACTCCAAGGCGTTTTTTCACCCTTCGAAGCTTGATACTAAACAGTTGTTGAACAACAGTAGGGATGAACTACGATGTCTAACACGCCTTCTTACAGGTCACTGTCATTTGAATAATCATATGCAGAGACTCAGACTGTAGGAAGACAGTGTATGTCGCCTCTATTTGGAAAATGATGAAACAGCAGAGCACATACTTTGTGACTGCCCCGCTGGGAACCGAATCAGGTCTTCAGAGTTCCGCAGAGGCGTACTCTCACCACCTGACATGAAAGACCACTCACCATACAAACTAATCGGCTTCGTTAAGAAGCTGGTTTTATTTCGTCAAGTGTGAATAGATGTGAGCCGCAATAAACCCTTGCGGGGTTTATTGCGACCCACTAACTTTGGACCTAACCTAAATTAGAGAAATACACAATTATACTTCTAGAAGAGTAAGTGATGTATAAATTCAGCTACGGTTTATCTAGTTCAATGTCATCATATATGTTTAAAGGTTTTACTGAATATAATTGCCATATTATAAAAATATTCTGTATCTGTGAGGCAATTGAAAAAAATAGTATGTTGAAACTCATAAACTCCAATATAGGTGAAACTATGAATGTGTACATAACTATTTACTCATTATAATCTTTTTTTTGCTATAAGCATATTATTATCTTTATTCCACTGTACTAAATACTATATCACTGTTCACATCTGTTGCTAGTCTATATTGATTATTTTTGAAAAGCATTTATCAAATATCAATCACTGATTATATAACATAGGGGGTTACCACTAGATTTGGTTCACCCAATATATAAGTTGATATAACTAAATTCCTTACTATAACTTCTAATGTTGATCCTCTATTCTCTTCATTCAACAAATGCACTTCATCTATCAGGAATAATTTGATTACTTCAACAAGTTTTTCATTATCTCTCCATCTTCTAGTGAGGCTGTCCCATTTTTCAGGTGTTGACAGAATCAAATTGTAACTAGCAAGATCGTGAAAGTCAATCGCATCCGAGTCTCCAGTAACCGAAATCGTTTTTAAACCAAATCGTGAGAATTTTTTTTGCCAGTCAACCAAACGTTCTTGGCACAAAGATTTTATAGGAGATACTGAAACAAACATTAAAGGAAGTAGTCATCACTGTATAATTTTCATCAACCATTACTTTTATGAACAACTTATGGTAGTTTCCTGATATTTCAAAAGCGCGTTGAATAATAATACTATAGAAATATTGTTTAAGAAATTGAAAGATTGAATTCATGGAATGAATAATTCAGAAATAAAAAGAAGAGAAAACAAAGAATACAATTATAGTGTCATTGATTTTCGAGTTTGAATGCCGTGGATTTTTGGAATTTCTTCCTGACATTTCGCTGGCGCGAGTGGCTAGCTTCTTCAGAGGTTTAACCATCATGACTTGCTGTCCGATAACTACTTTTTAGGCTTCGTAAAGCGTATTTATGCTTCGTCAGGTAATCAGTTGTATTTGTACCTGTATTCGTACCTGTATTTGTACCTGTATTTGTACCTGTACTCGTACCTACACTTGAACCTGGAACATTAACAATCTTGCTGCCTGTTGTCCTGTTCGTTATTCTAGAACTCCTTAAAATGGGGTTCCATGGGGGGTTGTGGAATTGGCCGCGGTGGTAGTGCGCCCGACTCACGATCGGAAGACCGTGGGTTCGATTCCTGCCTCGACCAGATATTTTTCTCGAGATAATCTATCTGATTGAAGCTGGGATGATTCTGCAAACGTGTTAGGAATCACACGTTAAAAGGTAAGACCTCGTTAGTCCTTAGCTCGCACAAGTTTCTCAACTTCTGAGAGTTGTCGATCGTATGGGGGCGACAGCTGATTAACGGAAAAACAGATTTTTTATTCGATTAAGGTTCACCGCTTCTTCTTTTCTGTTGAAATTCTCCGTGTGTTTGTGGATCTCTATTGCCTCCCGAACCAGTCGGCTATGGTATCCCTGGTCGTGGGCAATTAGTTCTGTGTTTTCAAACAAAATTATGTGGTCTCCTTCACTAAGTGCTTGTTCTGCCATAGCTGACTTGTCCGTTTGGCCTAGTCTGCAGTTCCTTTTATGCTCTTTTAGTCTTGTTCCCATGGATCGTTTGATGGTTCCGATATATACCTTTCCATAAGTGCACGGTGTGCGATAGACCCCTGCTGCTGATAATGGGTCTCTTTTGTCTTTAGCCGAACTGAGGCTTTGTTGTATCTTCCTCGTGGGTTTGAAGACTGTTTCGATGTCGTGTTTGCCCAATAGTTTTCCAATTCTGTCCGTGACCCTAGTGATAAACGGTAGATATGCGCGTACAACCATCTGATCCTTTCTCGCTTTCTGAACCGTGCCCTTCGGTTTCATGGCTTTTCTGGTCTCGGAGGCATTGTATCCATTCGATCTCAAGGTCACTTCAAGGTATTTCAGTTCCCTCTACAGATGTTCTGGTTCACATATTCTCCGAACCCGTCCCGTTAGAGTTGAGATAACTCCTCTCTTTTGGCTAGGATAGTGGTTCGATAGTGCGTGCAAGTATCTATTTGTGTGTGTGGGTTTTCGATACACTTTGTGGGTTAGTCTGGTACCACATCGTTCTTCTAGTACATCTAGGAAAGCTATTCGTTGGTCTTGCTCAATCTCCATGGTGAATTCTATACTCGGGTGTTGGGCGTTTCCCACACACACTAAAGGCTAAAGACAAAAGAGACCTATTATCAGCAGCAGGGGTCTTTCGCATACCGTGCAATTGTGGAAAGGTATATATCGGAACCACCAAACGATCCATGGGAACAAGACTAAAAGAGCATAAAATGAACTGCAGACTAGGCCAAACGGACAAGTCAGCTGTGGCAGTACACGCCACCGACTAGGGATACCATAGCCGACTGGTACGGAAGGCAATAGAGATCCACAAACACACGGAGAATTTCAACAGAAAAGAAGAAGCGGTGAACCTCAATTGAATATGGAACCCCATTTTAAGGAATTCTAGAATAACGAACAGGACAACAGGTAGCAAGATTGTTAATGTTCCAGGTCCAAGTGTAGGACGAGTACCTACAGGTACAAGTGCAAGTACAAATACAGGTATGAATACAGGTACAAATACAACTGATTACCTGACAAGGCATAAATAGGCTTTGCGAAGCCTAAAAAGTAGTCATCGGATAGCAAGTCATAATGGTTAAACCTCTGAAGAAGCTAGCCACTCGCGCCAGCGATACGTCAGGAAGAAATTCCAAAAATCCACGGCTTTCAAACTCGAAAAGCAATGACACTGAAAACCTTATCCTTGAAAGTCCAAATCATTTTGTCAATACAATTATAGTGCTCAAATAGGGTCAAATAGAGGCAGAGGGTCTTATTTAAAATTAGTTTAATTTTCCATGATTTCTCAACTAATATACGTGAGAGTGGTCTTTTATTTTTTTACTCTACCTACTCGTAGACAATGCTTTTGAAATAAAGTTTCAGGATATCCGTAAAATTCGCTCTAGAATTAGTAGCAGAATAGAAACTCATAGCACTTTCAATTGTCAAAAGCAAAACATTAGAAAATACTGTTAACAATTTGTATAGAAATTTCGTCTGTGATAAATCTCAGGAAGGGCGACCAAAATCGGTTTTGATTTGATAAACATCGCTGCTTTGACCAAGATAATATAAAAAAGATCGGTATGTGATTTGTGTGAGATAGAAGTATTCCTTGATATATTCATTATATCTTGCATGAACATTTAGGTGAGAAAAATATCTTCATCATCTGGAATAGATAATTTTCTGTTCTAGAGATTGCACACAATTTAATAGATACTCGAAAAAGGGTTGTGTGAATTAGTTTAAAGAAATGCACAAAATTCCACTAGGAAACTGCAAAATCCTTATAAAGCATTATTCCAGGTGACAAAATGTGAATATATTCTATGAGAACCTAGGCTTCAATTGACGACTGGATTCACGATTGAAAAAAACAAAATCCGAGCTGGTCAAATGGAACCTGAAGTACCAATTATTTTGCGGCAGACATCATCAGTGCTATGTGCGTTGATTGCGAGGACAAAGGTATCTCAAAGTCTCAGCAACGACTGAATAGTTAAGCTACGTATTCACTCGTATTTATAATTGCAGAGGGTGGTGGGGCCACACAGGTTCCTTTCGACTACAGCCTACCAGCCCGGATTTTGTTCTCTTTAATGGACATATTCTCTTTATGATTAGCGGAACTGAACGTGAATTAAAAAAGAGTAAAGATAAGTGAAGAATGAAATAAGCACCAATTTCCTTTGGAAGCATGTAAATAGATAGATAGATAGATATTCTTTATTAGTTCTTTGTAATAAAAAACCTTTTCAGGTGTAGAACATGTCAATTACAGTAAACATTACAGAAATAGTAAAAAAAATCATGAGGCAATATAATTAATATTGGTTAAGAATATAANTGTAAAACTTGAAAGGTGATTCCTGTATATTTACAATCTCAGAAGTTGAAAGGGAAGCAGTATACTCATATTTAAAATAACAATAAAATTTAAAACGAAAACTTAATTAATGAAGTACAGTTATAGAAAACTTAGCTCATGATATCAAGCATTTCTTTATTCAGAATAAGACTTTCACAGAAATAGAAATGAAACATGAAAATCATATCATACCGGAAGTAACTGTGTTGTGAAATTTGTTGCCTGTGATATACCTAAATATTATTTTTGTTTGTTTAATTTTTTTGCTTACTGTAAACGATTTTAAAAAGTTTTTCTCCATCATTCTGGTTTTCAAACTGGATGAGCAACTTCACAATGGCTAATTCAAAAATGGCAGTTTTTCCAGATCCAGTGGGAGATGAAATAACTAAAGATTGGTCTGAAAAAAATACATGTTAAATTCAAAACTTAATAAGATTTCAATAGCTACCAGAATGTAACACATCATTGAAAACTTTGGATTGAACAATGTTGAAACATGGGTACTCCGAAAAAATTATTCTGAATGGCAGTGGGACCTCTTGGATACTTCGAAAACTATTTCTCGATTCATCCATTATAAACAGATTTCTATCTGAAACAAACTTTTTGAATAGACCAAATTCTGTTAGAACACGAATTCTGTTAGAAGGCACGTTTTTAAAAGTTCTAAAAAATGCACATTCAGCTAATGTTCACAAAAAAAGAAATATATATACTATACCAGCAGGATCATTCCGCAAATTTTGAAACTTAGCCAGAAGCAGTTAATTGGCAGCTAGAGCTACATAGAATTTTTGATGGATTTGGCCAATACTTGATGAAAATCCATAACTTACGTATTCAAAACACTCACAATTAAGTGTTTTTTGAATACGTTACATAGGATTTGTATATGTTTATTATACGTTGCCTTCTACACGTATAGCTTTTCAGCGCAGAATTCAGTTCATGTTGTAAATTTCTGTTTTTATGTATGTATTCATGATGGAAATCACGAATTTTCACAATAGCGTTATTGATTTTCACCAAGTAACAGGTCAGTGTACTCAAAATCATGAATGAATGTGAATAATTTTACATTGTGTGCAGTATGATGACCACTTTTTCAACTACTTGAGAGATGTTCGGCTCTCAAGTTTTGAGAAAACAGTGCAGTCTTATGGGCTCATTCCCCTCATCTTTTTCATAACACCCATTCCGACAATCATGTTTTCGGTACCAGTTTGTACAGGTTCCTTGCTGGATGAATAACATATTCTTCTGGATACACTTTATTGTGAGATTTTCCCTGGAGAGATTACAAACCGCAACCAACACTTGTTTTGCTATACAATAGCTTCCTCAAGCATCCTGACTGACAACCTGTTTGTGAACTATCCAGTGGAAATCTTACAAAGTGTAAGTTGAATACATAAACTGTTTGCCTTCTGTGATTGAGTACCTTATATTCACATAAAGTATGTCTCTGTCCCATTGTTGCATTGCCTGCAGCTCAGATCACCGTTTTGTAGTCCTATTTTGTTCAGGTATCCTTTCAATGAACAGTGTGCAGTGAGTAGTCCTGTAATTTCTAAAACCGATCCTTGCTTTGTCGAAGCTGTTCTTCATTTGTCTTCTCTCATGGTCCCTTTATAAAGGTTTTTCTGGGCATGTTCCTAGGTATGTTTTTCCAATACTCTGGTTCTTATAGATCCGCTTTACAATATGTTTCTGTACCACACCTAAGTAACCCCACCGCTGGTTCAGTGCCTATATATAAGGTTGATCATATGTGTCTGGCACACTCATCAGTTTTTTCTTTGTCTGCGATGCCTGAGTGTCCTGGCTCCCAGTATATAGTCTATCTATTCCTGTCTACCGATTTCTTCATTTCTTCATAAATGCATTGCTGGACTCACCTGCCCTTAAAGGACAAGCCTAAGTAAAAAAAGTTAATGGCATCTCCCATTAAGAAGATGCCATCTATGAGATCAACAGAAAACTCAAATAACGGGTTGAACGATTGATGTCAAAATGTTTTGTTCCTTCTCTCAGCTTAGTTCAGCATACAGTTGCAAATTTTTATAGCACAGAATATACAACGGTTATCGGTTGACAGGACATGTAACCTATTAGAATTGTAACTGAAATCAGGAAAAAACCAGGAATAAATTGGTTTCGAATCAGAACTTGAAACTCAACAAATACCAAGGAGTAAGGATCCAGGTCGATACTATATCATTTTGGTAATAAATGATTTGAAATTTCTTCAAAAAATCAAATCAAAATATGTCTTATTGCCCAAAGATTTGAACATATTATTGGCAATTTCTTTTGAAGTAGAATGTGTATATGGAACATTGACAGAAGAATAATAACCCGAACTAAACAGCAATAAATACATATAAGTAATACAGATACAAAGCTAAAAAATTAATAATAACTGCTATGGTGGTTTTCAAGAGCAAACACTATATGGGTGAAACCGAACACAGTTTGTAGTGTTCAAAGCAAAGTGCGTTCAGATATTGTGGTGAAATTATCTCATAATGAAATTATCTATACTTTTGGATTTCCCAATTTAAAATATTTTAATGTAATAGCCTCCGAAGTTTTTCAATAAATATATATGGATTTCAAATAGTTATGAATTTGAGTAGGAATAATAGTAGTGAAATTTTCATCGCGAAACAATTTCTATAATTCATGTGTAAAATGATGACAAATAATCCAAGTTAATATATAACTGTATTTTACTCACCAAAAGTTCATTGAAATAACAAATCTTAGGGCCTGGTATTCAGATAAACTAAGTACTTTCAACATGTGAAAAAATGAATATTATAAAACACTCATTTGTTGATGATAAGAGTTGTGACTAAATCAAATCAAAGCACTCTTCATTTAAAGGTTTTGTTTTTTTTTCATAAGAAAAGGCATATGTATGGGGCGTAGGGAACTGTTTTTAATATGAAAATGATTATCACTAAGAAAGTGAATAAAATACAAATGTTTCAAAAACATTTTCGAATCCTGAAAATTGTTCAAAACAATAATACAACAGATGTAGTTTGAAATCCCGGTTCAATTAGGTTAGCTAGTTAATTTGCAGTGCTGCCAACCAAATACCGGTGTTTAATTATAACGGTGTCTGATTATAACAAAACTTCAGGATAAAAGTCTTGCTGATCAACTCGAAAACAGTAAATTAGATTAAAAATTTCTTTCACCGCTATGTTCTACCTTATGTATTTGTCAATTTTCTACAAAGTCATAAAAATAATTCGTCTTCCAGAAAAAAATTATCTCCATCATAGAAATTTTCTCAAGTGAGGAAAATAATGGGTGGAAAAATGAGGAGAAAGCAATAACTCTTTTACTGGCACTGCGAGAAAAAGCCGATAAAATTCTGCAAAATATTTCACTGAATCAGCAGAAGGATTATGAAGCAGTCGTATCAGATTTGGAGATCAGGTATGGTAGTGAGCACTTTCAACAAGTCTACCAAGCTCAACTGAAGGTAAGAACTCAAAGTCCAACCGAGAGTCTGCAGGAGTTTGGGCCTTCTATGTATTACGTATGTTCTGTGACTCCGTGATTTATCCGATTCACAGAAGAGTTCAAATATTTCAACCTATTTGCGGCATTTGTGGTAGCAATTTCCTCTGCAAAAATTTTGCGAAATTAGGATAAGCAAGACTGCGTCTGTAGTGTATTTTTTTAGTGTTCATAAGATAATCAATAACGCTAGTCTTTGAGGAAAATCATTCACATACACGGTCAAATCGAATTCAAATTTTAGATTATTTTTGAATTTGAATATTTTGGATAAAAAAGTTTGGACGAATTTCTTTCACTGCCTGAAATTTCTGGGATCTCTGCAAATATTTGAGAAAACAAACAATTCATGCCTCTTTTACATACTTTCTTTTCACTAAGTGGTATCTATGTAAAGTCATCCAGGAGCGGATCTAAGAATTTAATGAAAGGGCGCACTCGAGATTTTTGCTATAAATAAATGAAAATTAGGCTATTTAGTCAACATGAGGAGGGTTGAAACTAAAACCAATTACTGTACTTAGCGTAAGATATTCTGTTTATTTCATGTAAGAAATAGAGAACACCAATAATTTCACGAATTGTGTGTCTTACAAACACATATCACCAACTGAACTGAATTATTGAGATTTCAATGTTTTTATCACAAGAAAACCACACAAACTAAACCGACTAAACTAAATTATTGTGATTTTAATGAGTATGTCATGAAGAAGGACTCGAACTACACTCACACTACAATGTAAACTGAACTCTTCTGTTCTTTGATTCAACGAACTGATCTATGACATAATCCGTTGCTACATCAATGTCCCGGTGAACATGTAGAAGGACAAGCCCGGTAAGTTTGTCGAACAAACTGGATTGTACTAGATCTAAATGTAGAACACAGGAAAGTAGATGAAAATTCCGATGTTATACACAGAATTTATGACCGATTACCCTCATTTATTAACATTATGACAACTTTCTTGAAGTAAAAAAAGTACAAGTTTAGTGCAAAAATTATCTATTAGTCAATCCAATCTGACAGTATTCTCTTCTTACATTATTAACAAATCAGAATTTAAATTTGGAAATATCAAAAAATTATCAGTATGTCCTTTTTACACCCCCGTACAACCGTTACAATAATTGCGAAACAATGTCAAATAGGAAAAGAGATGTAAATAGATGAATGTACAACACAAAGATGTAGTTCCAGGGAGCCTAGTTGCCACTCTGGTGGTTTACTTGGCTGGAAGAACCCCATGCAGAACAGAAGAAGAATTTTCTTTTCTTGTGTCAGTTGTAAATTGTCACTGGTCACTATTCAGAAATCACTGAATCGAAAAGAAGAAGAAGAAGACTATTCAGAAATCTGTTAAACGCGGGATAGTTATTATGTGTTTTTGTTTTAATAATTACAGTAAGAATAAGATTTTTGTATGACTAAAACGCAGTTAATATGAAGACAGATAAGAAGACACTCAAAGTAATCTCCCAAGATCAGGTATTCTAAGTATTTTCATTTTATATTCATATTATATTCATAATAAAAATGATTGCTATTTTCAGGAAATACCTAAAAATAGTCGAAGGACCCTCAGAGACTTACAAAAAGATGCAAGTGGCAAAGAAAATTTGGTAGGACGATCCCACACAATCAAAGATTCTAAAATATATTGGTATGTACAATGCTTGTTTTACATTGAAGCTTGTTTACAGTGTTTAGCGTGTTTACAGTGATTTGGGTCCATCTGAAGCTAAAAAGAAAAGTATTCAAATGCTTCATAAGAGTGTGCAAGTAGGAGAATGTACAATTACTACTGAAGATTTGACTTCAGATGAACCTAGTGCCGACTATTGGAAACGTCTTGCAGAAACAAGGGGAAATGCTTTAGATGAAAGTTTACACGAAAATGAGAAGTTGAAGGAAAACTTGGAAGCCCTACAGGAAGAAAATAGAATCTGCAAAGAAATGCTGGATGAATCTAGACATTTAGTGGAAGTTTTAAAGGTAGAAGTAATGAAAACAATTTCAAAGAATGATCCTCTTTAAAAAAATGTGAATATGTCATGATTGAAAGAAAATGTTTTGCTTTACTAAAATTACTTGAGCTTTTATTCATTTTTATGTTCCAGGAAATTATTAATGAACAAAATGAAGAAGAAGATTCAGAGAGTGTAGATACAAAAACCAAAGATTCTGACTGAACTGACTATTCCTTTTTGGAACATTTTTCAAATACCTTCGAAGCCCAAACTGCATCACGGAAAATATAAATTATGAATTTGGAGACTTTTTTAATGCTTTGTTCATACATACTAGTGTGTAGTTTTGAAAATAAAATTGATGAACTTTATGATTTCTTTTCAATTTCTACAATTGGAATGTTTCATTCAGATTAAAAATTTGTTTGAATCTTGAAAAGCAACTATTACTGTATTTATTTGAACAGCTTTGAATGTACTAAACAAATCATGATAGAAATACTTTCAATCCATTTTTCAAGCAGATTGAAGCTGCCAGCATTAAAAAAGTTTATATAATCTAGCTATGTATGTGAATTTCTGATATTCATTTGTTTGAATCAATTGTGAATCAACCCAGTTGTCTTGAGAAAACGTGAGTATAACACAAAAAAAGGTTTTTTAAAACATTCTTTCAGGTTTTAGTATCCAAGTAATATGCAATTTACTGAGTGGAAATATGGAACAAGAGGAACAGGTGCATCAGGTTTGCTCCAACCAGGTTATCAACAATACCCTGGAAATGTTCAATACCACAATAATGTTTATCAATCCAACAATCCCAATCAAGGAAAATATAAATTTGGGTGTCTAATAGATCAGGTGAATTTTTGATTTAATAGAGAAATACATTTATACTACCAGTAGAAATGATCTTCAATTTGAAATTGAATATTTTGAACATTATGATAAATGAACAATTACCACATTTTTTTTATTCTAAACGCCAACACCATGGCTTCGCCTATGGGCAGTTTTGTTGGTAGACCAAGGAACATTGGTAATGCACAACATATTTTGGAAAAACAGCTGTCTATTTAATGAATTTTTGGTGAGGTTTTTTGCTACAATCTCTTTGATTTGTATGATTACACCCAAAGCTGCTGTGATTTTCATAAATTCTTTAATTTTGTGTTCAAATAATCTGTTTTTTTTTATAAGAAAATCAATTCGGATTTCCCTTGGTGGGTAGATTCTTAGTTTCAAATATCTTTTTCAAAATTATCACAATTGAGAATATCATTGTGACAAATGAGAACACAAATACTCTAATTTTATTCTAAAGTGCTCATAATTGAAGTGTAGTAATGCAATAATATTTGTGTTTTAGAAAGTTATTATGTATTATTCAACTGAAGCCTTTCAAAAACTGTCAGATTTCAAGAGACATTCAGACAACAGCGTTATGTTGGCAATTCAATGTTCAATATGTATTATATAGCATCTCTGTGTTGCCAGACTTTCAAATCCGTGGAACTGTAGAAATAATTAAGTTATATTCCATCCTTCAAATGACATAGAAAATGGGTTAAATTATTCATTGAAATTGAAAGGTAATAGAACAAACAAAACAAAAGTAAACAATTCTGCATAATGGTTTGATAGAAATGAGCTGAAAGTTGATGAATAAAAAACTCTCATCGATTGTACTCGCTGTGGAAAGGAAATACCTATAAGTCATCTGTTGAGAATAGGTAGACTGTATTTCAGCTGATTGCTTTGTGTGAGCTGAGATATTACAAATAGATCTATTGTTGTCTTACTACTATGCAACTGAAATATGTAAAGATTTTCTGGAGATATTTTTGTTATGTAAAAAAAGAATTCGTATTATAGAAAAGGGCCTTGAAAATATTTTCAAGAAACACTTTATTGTGAGATTTCCACTACATAGTTTCACAAAAACTATTACTTACTATTTTTTTTTCTGATTGATTCGGCCGTTACTTGATAAAGATCCATAGTTATTTCATAAGCTATACCTCACGATTTGATCTCCATACGCATTATTTGAAAAATATCACGACATGTTTCGCTAGCAGAGTAGCTTTTTTGTAGTACGTATTCACTACGAACAAGCTACTGTGTTAGCGAAACATGTCTGATATTTTTTAAATAATGTTTGTGCAAATCAAATCGTAAGGTATAGTTTATGGAATTACTTACTAGGTATCTGTCTATCTCAAAATTATTTCCAATTTGATGAAGAGTTTTATTCATGCAGCGAGAGCTGAGTTTCATCAAACAAATAGCAGTCAACAACGGTTACAAGGTATATATTATCTTGATGGTCCACTCACATGGATTTTATGAAAAGAGGGCTTTGTACATAGAAATCCTCCTCATATTTAGTAAGCTCCCTAATGGTATTAAAACAATTCCATGAGAATCAATGTTCAAATATGTTGTGAAAAAATGTTTGTAATACAATAGCTTTTCCTCAGTACATAAATACTAGAATTTTAACTTCTAATATTGTCTTTTTTTATCTTACAAATATGTATTTATTTTGCAAGTGTGTACTTCCATATTATGTATAAAGCTTCTCGCATGCCAAAAAAGTATCCTGAAAAACATTTAGCAATGCTGTAAATAATTCTGTAAGAGTTGGCCTAAGTGAGGAAATTGGCAGGTTTACTGATTTCTTCTAGTGTTTAGAATACGGATGGAAGTGGTAGATTATGGTTAAGGTTTTCATTAGCAAACACTGACATGTTCTCTCATTATTTATAAATCATGACATGAATGAGGAAGATTTTTAATAGTATTTGCCTATTGGATATTTATCATTGAAACTGTCAAGACTGCACATCGACTATACTGTAAATGAATCTAACCGACATCAAAGCTTTAGTTTTCTATTTCACATGTATTAAACCCATTTTCTACCATTCTTGAGGATGGTATACACTTGTGACGTCAGGTCTCTGCCACTTTTGAAAAGAACAACTGGGAGAGATACTTCAAGGAAAACAAATGAAATACCTTACCAATTTTCTACTATTTTGGAAGTGATGGAAGTTGTCCAGAAATTAGTGTTCTCTTGTTAGTGACAGTCTCAGTGACAATACTGTTCAACTAATAATGTATATTTATAATAATCAGTATATTACTGACTACTGTGATTTTGCAATGATTGTGTAAACTATGTTTACCTTAATTACCGAAATGTAGAAATTGTCATTTTTTGTTCACTACTCTTCTACTTGTTCAACTATATTATAGGATCAGAAGAATCATGGATATGAAGGATGTGATTCTGTAGTAATGCGGCCCATCACCAATTCAAATCAAATCAAACCCTCACATGCAACTGCAACACGGCAAACTGAGGCAAATCGAGTAACCAAATTTATTCTACCCTTTGAAAAGGTACCTGTAGCTTCTCTAAATTTTGTTAACTTCCATTTCAATATTATTGTTTTTATCAGGATCAAAATCCAAACGTTTATGTTGATACCAGTCCCATGTCCAATTGCAACAGTAATCAGATGGTCCCAATTTTTCAAAGTACAAACGGATATAATGGAATGGGTAAAATGAGCAGCAGAAAACACTATCTGCAGGCTATTTCGGACCCACCAGCTAATCAATATGTAGGTATACCTGTATACCTGTATTTAAAAATAAGGGCTCTGCTTGTGACATACATAACTATAGGGCTATATGCATACAAAGTCAAATCGCTAAACTATTCGAAGCATCCTATTGTGATAGATTGACCAAGTACTTGGAATATTTTGAGCTCATCCCAGCAAATCAGAATGGTTTCCGTAAGCACAAATCAACCAGCTCGGCAATTTCTGATTGCCTAGAGTTTATCTACAGTGCAATGAATGATAGAAATAACGTTCTAGGACTGTTCTATGACTTCAGTCGGGCTTTCGATACCATTGATCATCATNGTCTGAAAGTTACTTCTTTGCATGATCTACACATTCGTGTATAGATTTACTTATTTTCAAATTGATTACTTCCTTCCTTTCTTTGGAAGATTCCCTCATCCCTTTTTTTGTATCAAGATGGAGTAGTAGAAAGCCAAAAACTTTCTTTCCCAAAAATTAATCACTCCTAAAATTATAACCCCTTCAATTCAAATAAATAATTACATATTGTGACAACTAGAAAGAGATAACAAATTCAGCAATAATTTTGAGATGATAAGACATTAGAAATCTCGTATAAATCTGGTTAGTAGTGCGTTTGCTGTAGCCAAACATTTAGGGTGTTTTGATTTAATAAATTTTCCATTGGAAAAATATTATGAACATTTGAAATTGTGAAAGTTCTGAGTTGAAAGAGGAAGCTCAGAAATAATATATCGGTTTTACACCCTGTTCCGTTGATATTGGCAGAATGCCAATGTTACAAATGATATCGACAGCACTGTTGGTTAATACATGCACACTCTTTTACTTTAAGGTATTCTAGAAGACAAAGTACTCACATATACTCTGTCCATCTAAGCAACAGAGTGCTCCAAAACGTTATCATGCATAGTGCACGTGATTTCTCAGACAAGGCTGCTTGTACAGAGTCTTACTAAAGAATGACCGAATTTTTCTCAATAAGTTGCGGTTCGGTATAAGAAATTTTTTTAGGTGGAGTATAGGGACACAAATCAGCAGTTTCTTCAGCTACACCGGTACTTGACATTTTAAATATTTTGAACTTCAAATTACCGTAAATGTACACACCACAGGCGTTAAAACGTAACTGACCACTTCGAAACTCAGACGAATTCCGCCAGCCGTTTGCAGTTAAATCTGATTGGCCAGCGTAAGGAGGCTTGTTTATTTTACCCAATAGATGATGTGCGTGATGACGATGCTTTGATCACGCATCTATCTTTGTTTGGGTTACTTTGTTTGTTGGATGGATATAGTTTGGAGAACTTTCGTAAAAGTGAAAAAAGTAAAAGGGAATGTTTGGTGTATGAATCAACCATTTACACCAATAACATGGAAATCGAATGCCAAAAGTGATTTTGCTATCTATTTTTTTGTTTCATGATTTATTAGCTATATTTATTTGCTACAATTTCGATTCAGGAATGACCATTTCTATTCCAGTTGCTACATTTTATTCCATCTCAATCGACAGAATCTTAGGAATGGAAAAGTATGGGAATGCAACCTTTTGACGAAATGCTTTTCAATGTTGCCACTATTCTTGGCTCTTCTTTGGTATAAGAAATTGTGGTCTTTATACCGATTATAGTTGAGTGAAAAAAATAAAAATTGTAATAGAGAACTTTATATAGGTGTAGAAAGGCAAACTTCTAGTTCATCTTGATAAATTATGGATTTTTCATACAACTTCCAGGAAGTTGTCACAATGTGAAACAAAATTTTTTGTTTACATAACTCTGTTCTTTGTTGATAATGGCATTATTATATAATGCCACATCCACATATAATTAATATATTTTCCTAATTTCCTCGTCTGAGCTGAACGTTTGTCATTTCAAGTTTTTTAAATTGATTCAACTCTATATTTTGAGCGAATTTTTTAAATCAAAACACTTCAAATTTACATCTACATTGTATTCACCACTTTTTCTTTAATAATGGTGTAACTAGTTTATCAATTTTTGAACCTCATTATTAAAGTAAAAACTCAGTGTTTGACTCAGCCATTACTGCGTAATTTCAATATATTCTTGATAAAGAGAATTGTTCTGTTTATCGGTAACTTGTCGTTTTTGATAATTTTTGCCTATAAAAAAGAACTAAGAATTATCGATAAGAATTATTATTGATTAATACTTACCTCAAAATTTCGGAAGGCCAAAATACAGTGTGTCCCTGAATTGATTCTACAGGAGATCGTGCAAAGAAATTCACAGCCATATTATTCACAACAAAAAAAATTTGGAACCTCTGGAGTAAAATAAACCTATTGAAAACACTTTTCTTACACCAAACAAACTACTGTCTGTCGATTTGAAATTCCTGAAAGAACCAATAAAAATAAAAAATTAAAATGAATAGCTGAAAATAACAATTATATTAAGCAAAATGAGATCGCTACTTTCATCAGTTATAGGCCAACATATATATCGAGTGGTTTAAAACTGGCCATTGAAAAAGCCCACAAGAAGCCCCGAGCCTGGGTGAGATACGTTAGACGTATTGGTGAAGAGGACTGACACAAGACAGTATCTGAACCACTAATCCAACCACCATCAATCGAATGTGTCTTCGGGCTCTGTAATACGAAGAAAGGTCTCAAGAAGGAACTAGGCATCATCAAAAATAATCTTCAACGGAATGGTTACTCTAAAGTGATGGTGGAACAGACTTTGGCTAAAAGACAACAAGAGTCTCGCAAGGAAGAGAAGCCTTCACAACCAGTGCTTAGGTCCAAGTACAACATTAAAACCTGCTTCAGATCCGGAAACACTATCCGTAGCAACCTCACCTAACGCGAACTGCAGTTCCAAGAATTGCATTTACCGGATACCATGCGAGTGCGGAAAATCCTATATCGGTGAAACAAGGAGGCAATTGAACATTCGCATTGACGAGCACAAGAAACACACACAGCGAGGGGAAACCAGCAAATCAGGAATAGCAGACCATGTTTGGACTCATCAACACAACATCGAGTGGTACAACATCAGAACCTGCTGCAGATCAGGCCACCAAACGCGGACTGCGATTCCGAGAATTGCATTTACCGGTTACCCTGTAAAGGGTAGCAAATCCTAATTGGTGAAACTAAGAGGCCATTGACAGTTCGCATTGCCGAGCACAAAAAACACTGGTTTAGGAAGAAATTCAAAGAAGCCGCATATATGTTGTCCAACAATGTATTCGGCCAAGCTAGCGTAGAGATATGCAACATATGGAAACCCATAATCAAGCGGAAAATGGTCAACTCCCGCCAAACGGTCATCTACCACTAAACAGGTGAAGCGGAGAGAAGAAAGAGTGGATAGGTAAAAGCACTCGAACAACATATAGTCATTTCTCGGAGGAATAGTCCAGTCATCACTCGAAGACGATTGTGGATACTAACTTGAAATCTTTCATTTTGAATTAAATAATCAAAAAAAGATGTTTTAGTTAAAATTTTCTGCTTGTATCTTATTTTATTGTAATTTCATTTCAGGGCTTTTTTGCTTAATATAATTGTTATTTTCAGCTATTTATTTTAATTTTTCAATTGTATTGGTTTTTTCAGGGATTTTAAAGAATTTTATACCATACTAGTACTATGTTGTTCATACTAGTACTAAATTGTTCTACAGCGCCATCTAGTGGCGAGTTACAGGAAAACTGATAGCCTAAAAACCTTCTCTATGAAAAATTACTTATACATGTCAAGTTTCATCACGTTCGGTTGAGCGATGTAGAAGTTTATCACTTACCAACCAACCAATCAACCAACCAACCAATCAACCAACCAACCAACAAACATCCATTTTTATATATTAGATAAGACAATGGAAGTCCGAACTAATGAAATAAATCATGAAACATTGTCAACCACCTTTAAACATAGTTAGAACAGTTCCAGTCATCTCCTGAAACGTGAGTTGAGAGAAAATTTGTTTTCTGGTGTGGGGAAAGTGTTTTCAGTAACAAAAAAAATATATCTACAGCCACAAGGTGAACAGAATCGGATCTATCATTAACACTCCATCAAATTATGAAAGATATCCCATTGAAGGTATTCAAAAATAAAATCAAAGACTATTTGATACAAAAATCAGTTTACTCAATAGACATATTGTAGGGTGTTATCTGTTACTTGATTTGTGATTTTTTTTTACATATATTAGTCTTAATGTTTCAGTTGTATTTATAATTGTTAATTGTCTTACTTATGATGCACTGTTTGGAACCTTTGGTGTAGTAATGAATATTATGGAGTTTTTTCCCAACACCAAATCGTTATTTTCAACACCTCGACACGTGTTTCGATCACCAAGTGATCATCTTCAAAGAGGAAGAATAATCATATTACTGGAGTTTTTTCCCAACACCAAATCATTAGTTTTTTAACACCTCGACACGTGTTTCGATCACCAAGTGATCATCTTCAAAGAGGAAGATTAATCAGTTTTCTAAAAGTTTTTTAACACCTCGACACGTGTTTCGATCACCAAGTGATCATCTTCAAAGAGGAAGATTAATCAGTTTTAATGTTACTGTAGTTTATGTGTAATTCATAAACAAATTTTGATATGAGTTGACATTAAGCATTATTTTACCCAAACTTTGACTTGTATAAACAACAATTGAATTGATTTATTGATTTCTACATCAGTTTTGAAATTTCATTTTTGAATTTACATTTGTTCAAATCATATTTTTTTTGAAAAACATTTAACAACAATATATTTAGAATTCAAGTTTGATGGTACCACCTTTACCTAATACAAGAAGAAACGTCTGTGAAAGGCACAAAACATCTGATGAATCAGCTACAGGTTTACAGGTGTGTACAAAATTTCCGTTGAATTGGATTTTACCTTGATTTTTCATGTGGGAATCTGGTTCATCATCTCAATGACGATTATATCATTACATTACCAATGAAGTTGTCAATAAAACTCTACAATTACAGGAAATTTCTAAAAACTACAGACAGACAGGAATGTCAGAGCACGCAGGGACACGCTTACAATTGAAGAAGTTACATTACATAATAAATATGTACCTCAGAAAATAACTAAATGAATGAAATCATGTGCGATGATTTATTACTTTTGATCTAATTGGACTATATCTATAAACTTACGTAACACAATGTTTTCTAACCTAAACAAAACTTCTGTGATGGAATAAAATCACTATCATCATAACAGAAATATGTTTTGAAAATCCTTGGACGGGTTGATTTTGATTATTTTATAATTTATTTCGTAGCCGAAATAGAAGTATATCGTACTACACTAGACCTACCAAGTTAATCATATGGGGTAATTGTGGCATTACTAATTTCAAAAAAATTCAAACGCTACAAAATGAATCAATAAAAATTTTATTTCAAATTCCATTTCGAACCCACACAAATGATTTATTCTCACAGACTGATCTACACCCAATTAAATATCTACTTAAACTTGAGCAATGCAAGAACATATATAAAATAAAAAACAAAAGAATTAAAAGCAACAACGATCTACTAGTCAACAACCAGTTTTATGAGTATAACACAAGGGGTAGAAATGACTTACACCTGAGCATGGTAAGAACGAACAAAGGATTATACAATCTTTTTACACATGCTATAAAAGTCTTCAATGAATTACCTGTCCATATACGTGAGTTGCTGGGCTATAGTTCATTTATCAATAGTTTAAAAGAACATCTGAGCCTCGAGGCACATGTTTGATACTTTAATACTATGAGTATAGTAGTGGTTTACTAGTTTTTATGTTTCACTAGTCATGTTGAATGTTTGTGAATCCCGAGACCAGCATTTTTGCTGATTAGGGAGAATAACAACATATTTTATATTTATAATGTCTTAACTATGTTGAACTGTACGCCGTTGTTATAATTTTAATAAAAAAAAATACTGAAAATTGTGATTGTATAAATTCAGTTAAAAAACCGCCAGATAAATTTTATTTTTAACAACCTATTTTTTTCGCAAAAATGTATACTCTCCATAATTGATCTATGTAAATGTGTAATTAGCAAAAAAGAGACGTGTTTTTACTGTTCATGTGAGAGGTTTGAATTCTTTATGCTTTAGTTCAAAAGACGCGATTTGAAACCAATATTGAGACCAATCGAGAGGAAGAATGAATAACATCTGGTTACTTGTTCTAAATTGCACACTAATTAGCCTATTAAATTCAACCAATAAGAACTGCCCTTCAATGGAATAAAATCAGATACATTTCAATAATACAGTACAGTATCTACTGTGAGGACAACTATAGCACTTCATCGCCTTTGATAATGTCTATTGCAGTCTTAAACGAAACAACGTCAATAAAAAGAGAGCTTTGATAAAATTGCTTAATTTTGATACACTTATCATCAGGAAGTGTAAAATGTGCTCCTTCTACTTCTTGACAATAACCCAGCCTAATATAAAATTAATTCCTGATGTTTTCAACCATCTGTGGAGTAATCGCTCGCATTTCTGTCTTTCTCTATCTCTCAAGTCTCGCATGTTTGCAACTTTTGTATGATAGACTTTGTTTTTGATCTTGTTCAAGATCTTGCCGGCCATTCCAACCCTGAAAGTATTTAAGTATTCTCTTACAGGAACTCTAAATTGCGTTTTACTCCATACTGCTGAAACAAATGGTATATTAAATAAATATATTAGGCATGTCACAAAAAATGACACTTTTATCAACTACAATATGTGGAATGTATATGTGATTCGACACCTTTATTAGGTACTTCAAAACACCTCTACTATTTTATTTGCTGTTTGATCTATACCAGAAATGATTCAAAAATGAATAAAGGTTCATTTACAATGAATTGTGTCCTGACAACTTTATCGACTTAGGAATTCAAATTATAGGGATGATATTTTCTCAAATTTTTTTGCTACAACCTGCAACAAAAAATAAACGAATGCAAAAGAAATATGTAGAAGTAAATGAACAATGTGAGATGGAATAATTATATTGGATAATTCATTGATTGCTGACCCTAAAAGTAATCGTAAAAGTCCAGAAAAAATGTTTATAATTTTCAACGTATTCCGAAATTTCTGTTTTGCTTGATCCATCGCGACTTGGTGAATTGTCCAGCTTCAATTGGCCCACTCTTACCTTCACCATTATTCAAAGATGTATGGAGGGAAGATACAATAGTGTCTGCAAAGCAGCTGTTGGAATAGTTTTTATTTCATTGTGCCCATTATTTTTGCACCCTGCTTATTTTCTTAATAGCGGTCATTTCCTTTATCTTTGGCCACCAGATCATAGATGCTTGAGCGGATTAATATTGCAGCTGCACTTGGAAACTGATGAACTGATGGACAATAATAGATTGACTCTATACTGAGCGCAAGGTACTCAGATATAACGGGCAACTAAAAAGCTGATGAATGTGCTTTAGGGCGCAGTGCTAAACAAGCTTTAGGGGTACTAAATCTTTGGTACGAAACGAGATTAGGAAGTTAATTTATAAGTAACATAACGGGTTTAAACGTAAATAGCCCATGAGGGTGTAGACTTGGAAGCAATGGACAGGTCAAACGGGTTCAAAGTAGCAGAAAAAATCCATAAAATGTCAAGAGCCCAAACTCGCTTCAATATACATTTTTGTTCTTTGTCTGATAAAAGGAAGTGGTTAGGGTAAAAGGTGAACACTTTATTAATATAGACGTTTGCTCGCTTCGAAATCTCCCAATGAATGAGGCCAGTCAGCATGTATCCAGTTTTGATAGAAATAGTCAATACAAAGTCAATTCGAACAGCTAAATAAAAGACTAATGTACCGAGCCTGATAAATTTACTAGTTAATACCATATAAAACCTCCCACATAAAATAGTGATTAGACCTCGTAATTATACCACGCTGCGCATGATCTCGTTATTACACCACGCCGCCCATGACCTCGGAATAACAAAGAAACTGCCAACGTTCGGTAACTATTTAGTTTTTATGCCATTCGAATTGACTTCGTATATACTATAACTAGGGAGGCGTAACCAGCTTGTTGTAGCAGACCTTACATAGTTATACCACCATTATACTTGTTCCCCACAAAAATAATTCTTGTAAATTTTCAAATATTTCGGAATCATAATAGTTTATTTCATTTTGCCCCAGCTTTCAACACCTCCACGTTCAAGGCCTGTATCTTCAGTCCCTAGAGAAATGAAGACCGAAAGTATGCTATCACTGGTACCAGACGACACCCAGTATACTGGTGGAATTAGTAATTTGAATTGCAAGATTTTTGGGGTAAGATAAATTGGTTGAATAATCCATCATATACATATATTCCCCAAAAACCACTCTTCAGATTGTGATATGACAACAAAATAATTTTTTTATTTTAGAGCTCTGTTGGAGAAAAAATATTCGTATTCACAGGATCAGTTGAAAAAGTCATGAAATGGAATAAGATTTTTCGAAATCATTTTTGCTTCTTTGAAGTAATTGGTAAGCCTCTTCCTGATTGAGAATGACATTTGAAAAAAGTTTGTTTGCACAGAACATTTCATTCATTCCTAGTTAATCCTTAGCTCACACAAGTTTAGACATTTCAGTGTTGTCGTTCATAAGGAAATTACAGCTTTTTCTAAAACCCATTGTAGACATAAATACCAACAGATTTTTGTTTCAACTATGATTTTTCATGTAATTGATTTCATCATTCTCATTTGACATCGTATAAGAAAACATTTAACACTAGACGATTTTATGATGCACCTGATTTCATTAGGTATAAATTAGGAACATGAACACAATTGTAATAATATTGTCTACAATATAAGTTTTTGTTTGTTGATTTTTGTGAAAACCATATATTCTCTAACTTTTTTAAGAATGAGGTAGCTTTAATTATAACAAAACTCTCATAAAAAATAAGTCAATAGAATGTAAATTTATAATCAGGTCGCTATTAGATGTTACCATGTATATAACCATCCAGACGATGTGGACGAGGGAATCACCCGTGGGTCTCAACCTTACTGTCTGAAATGGCATATGGGCCAGCACCTACGTGCAGACTCCGCACCATCTGAAAACGGCCTAAAATTTAGAAATACATATATTTCAATGGAACTAACGGGAAAAAGTTAATAAGAATATTTTCATTCAAACTTAGGATTTTACAAAGTTCCATAAAACTAGTCAATAGGAGAGATATCTGGTGATAGTGGCGACCACTGCGTAAAACCTTGGGGCACCGGATTGATAATCTGCATCAGAAAAATAAGTTTACCAAATTTTATCAATATGTATAGGTTCTAAAGTAGATAGGTAGCGGGTTGACGAACTCATTTTCACATTATGTTTACTTGATTATTTCTTTTGATAGGTTTGAAACATTTACTTGCAATATCGTTAAGTATAAGTTTGATTGTACCTGATTTTTTTGTAGCTTCCATTGTATCAATTCAAGAGGGATCAGTAAAAACTCAAAAAGTGATGTTGCTTCGTGATAAAAAAGGACCTGTGCTACAAGTGGTTTATTACCGATCTACTCATCTCGATTTAAGAGATTTTTACATTGGACAAATGATAAGGTACATATTTTTTTCTTTACAATATTTTCATTTTACTTTTATTAATTTCATTGGATTTATAAATTCTGAAGTAGTGATTCATCTACCACACCATTTCTCACAACTTCATTGTAACATTACATCAAAGTAACATTATATCAAAGTCAATCATGAATAATGATCGACGCTGATTATTTTGTTTGAAGGTGATTGACAATGTTTCGTGATGAATTTCACTAGTTCGGACTTCCATTGTCTACTATATAAAATGATTTGAAATCCCTGAAACAAGTCATCACCCGAAGACGATTGTAGATACCAACAAACGAAACGTCGTGAACTAACGTGAAATGCTTCATTTTTAGATTTATATGTACACATATTTGATATCTTTACAATTTTCCTTTTGACGTATTTCTCAGACAAAAATTTTCTGCCACTCCTGTGAATGATTATAAAATACTCTGTTGAAATAAATGTATCTATCTATCTATCTATCTATCGGAGTATATTGAGCTAGCCAAGTAGCTTTTGATTAATATTTCATCGAAATATTCAATTCATTGTTTGTAATTGATGGGGCTACACTTTTTGTTCCTACTGTTCGGTAGATGATATTTCAGGTCTGACGGCGAGAGTGAAACATCCCTGATTAGGAATGCGCAGGGCAAGTACAAAAATAATGCTCTGTTGTTTCATCTTACACGCCGGATTTTCCAACAGTTCAACTCACTTCATATGGTGATTCAGACGACAGTAACCTGTCGGTAGGCATCTCTACTGTAATGTAACATTTTTTGTGACATTCCTCGAAGGATGTGCAAATGCCTGCTACATGTTACCAACAGATGTTCTATGCTTAAAATTATCTACAATAATTATCAAAACTGTGAAGTTTTTCTTCAAGATCGTCGACACAATTAGTGACCATAGTAGAAGTAGATAACGATCCTAGGTGACAATAATTTTCTGAACTTATTTCTGAGATCAGCCAACATGAGTCTGTTTTAATAATTGAGTTCATCCACCTCCTCAACATACTGTATAACGTAACGTTTTGCGTCTTTCTAAACCCAGGATGTATAGGAGGCTTCAAAAAAAGTTCTCTCTATGTGTAAAAATATATTAGTCTATGTCTTTAACTGGTAAAAACGCAACAGCTTCTTCACAAGTTTTCGGTTAATGTACAAATACAAAACTGGTATTAGTGGCTTTCCTAATCAATTGATGCTCTTTAGTTGAACCATTTACTGCTTTTTACCACTCATTTTTTTTGGTTATTGTCGATTTTCCGTTCAGTTTTTTTAAATAATTTTCTTCCTTGGAGACAACTTCCTGTAGCCGCTGTGCTTTAATATATCTATCTAGAGATTTTACGAAGTATTTCCAGGTCAGACTCTTAGCTTTACTAGTTGAAAGCTTCGTTTATATTTGATAATCATGGATGGATTTTCCATAGACCGCATATTTGTGAAGAAGATGTCATTGCCTTCACTTTCTTTAATCCACAAGGGCATATTTTTCTACATTGTATGGCGACTTGGCTTGAAACATCAATTCATTAAGTACTGGCCAATTACATCACATTTAATTAATGATTGATTTTTCAACTGTACCCCCACATTTCTTAGCAGTGAAGTACTCAGTTTCACATTTTCAATATACCAGTATTGAAAAACAATCAATNACATTTAATTAATGATTGATTTTTCAACTGTACCCCCACATTTCTTAGCAGTGAAGTACTCAGTTTCACATTTTCAATATACCAGTATTGAAAAAAAATAAATGTGTTGGGGAAATAGGAAAACACTACAAACTTTAATCCAATAACAATTAATGTTTGCTTCAGTTACAACATTTTTTTCAGATGTATTGGGAGAATGAGTGGACAAAATGTGTTGAATGCCGAAAGTATAAGATGTGCTTCTCCAGAGGAGGTTGATAATTTACAAAGGCTTTGCCTGGTTTGTGATCAAGCAGTTTCACACTATCTTAACGTTTGAGTTTTTTAATTTCTTTTGGTTATTCTTTGTAAGAGTTAAAAATTTAAATCATGCTTTAGATTAAAGTCAGTTATTGTAACGTGTGGGTATTCCTTTCATGAGCAAAAGGCGGAAATTATTCTGAGATACACTTGACACTGAATTTTTATTGTTGAAAAGACGCAGTCATGGGTTAGCCATCTATGTCACATGCTAAGATGGGTAAGGGTCCCTTGACCGTTGCGATATTCTGCCCATGGATTCAACGATGATTTCACTTAATGAATTTTGGATTTCACCAGGCAGATTCCATATTTGACGTAGCTGATTATTTTATTTCGTGGATCGGATCGGCGGTTTATTCTGCCACTACCTTCATCAGGTAGGTGAGCAACATATGTGTGACTGGGGAAGTAGGTCTCCCGTGATGCATTTCAGAGGGCACCCTCTCACGGCTCTCACTGACTAATTGCACTCATCAGCCCGGAGATGCTGGTCTTAATCTTTACAGGCAACTTGTACCAACCAGACCGAAATGTGCAGCTCGGGAAATGTACCTGCGGACCATCTTCAGTAATATCCTCTATGACAGTACTAATGTATACTGAATAAATTTCACTTGATTGGTAGACCTCAGTATTCTTACCATATTAGCAGGCCACGTATATTTCACTATACAATGCAGAGTTTTTTCGTCTTTGATTTGGACGAATCATTGTTTAAGCTTTATCTCAAGCTTAGCTCAGGAGGAGTTTGTTTCCTCTACTGATGAAGTTTCTGCTTTTGCTGCACCAATATTTGATGCACGGAAGATCCATTCGGTATTTTGCCCTGAGAAAGTTTTGCTCTTGATCTAATGTTATAGGAAGGTCAGTTGGTGTCATTTCGTCGACGAACATCTACTTTGTGGGCTCACAGTGTAATTCTTTGCTTACCTTGGGGTCCTCAAAAGGGAAAGGAGATTCATCATGGCAAAGCCCCGCTTTACCGTAAAAATTATTTCTATGGCGAGGAGTGACAACTGATGGGCTCACAGTCAAACGGATATACACATATTAGTTTGAAACCGTTATTGGGATGTCATTTCGTTAGGAAACTATACCACCACAGATGATCCTGCTATCCTGTTGCGGGAGCTAAGGATTAAGGATGTCTTACCTTTTAACATGCGATTCCTAGCAGGGGTTGGACGTTACACAATGAAAATTGTCCTCGAGGGGGTTCTATCCCCTCTGTTATGGAACCTTGTAATGGACGAGCCATTATGTCTCTTGGATCACAATGGGTATAAAGCACTGGGCTATGTAGACGACTTAGTCATCTTAGTCAGGGTAAATGTAGTGAACGGATGCATGCAGCAGGCCCTGAATATTATAACAAGATGGACCGAAGAAGAGAGGCTTAACATAAACCCATCCAAAATGACCATAGTAGCATTCACCAAGAGGACTAAAACGGAGGGTCTCGGACCTCTAAAACTTCAAGGTGAAGAAATACAAATGTCGGGGAAGGTTAAATATCCGGGAGTAATCCTAGATTGCAAACTGACCTGGAACCAACACTTGGACAGGATAAAGAGGAAAGCGGAGGTAGCACTGATGCTCGCCAGATGCATCCATGGAAAAACACGGGGTCTAAAACCAGACATGCTATATTGGCTATACACGATTGTGGTTAAACCCATGATAACTGGTCTGGTGGCTAAAGGTGATGCAGGCGACCGCCATCAACAAACTAGGCAAGGTGCAAAGACATGCATGTTTGGGAATGAAGGAAGAAATGAGAACTACCCCAACAGCTGCATTGGAGACACTCCTGAATCTACTTCCTTTACACCTTGTGATAATGGGGGAGGCCAAAATGGGCCAATTCAGACTGGAAAACTCACCGAACTGTAAAGGATCGGACCGAACAGAAATTTCGGAACAAGTGGATGAGCACATATTGAATATGTGCACGGACCACATGACCATTAGTCATTTCGGAAATATGTTTGGAAAAAACACCTGGTATACAGATGGATCGAAGACCAAACATGGAACGGGAGCTGGAATATACCGAGCGGATATAAATTTAAACTACAGCTATCCACTAGGACTATGCACATCCGTCTTTCAGGCGGAAGTGTATGTTATCTTGCAGTGTACAAGGCTTATTGAATTGATAAAGTTACCTACCTACAATTGCCACCCAAACTTTTAACGAGAAATGATGTTGAAAGTGATCTTCAAACACCTCATGTGGATTTTCTTCAGCCCAAACACGGTTTTTGTGTAAATTCCTTATGGCATTACTTGAGAAACTGGCTTTGATCCAATGTGCGCAAAAGCCATCGACATAATGCAATACGTGGAAAATCTGCAGAAAGAAGTTCCTGAACTCGTTGTATGTGGTATGGGTACAACAAATAGTCTCTCCTCCCGTTACCTACATTTAAAGTATCTGCAATTTTTCGAGAAGAGGTATCTGGATCTTCTTCTATCATGGCCAGGACATTCTCTTCTACTTCTACCGTTCTTACTGTCATTGGCATTCCTTGCCTTCCATTTCGCTTCAATGCCCCTGTTTCACGAAGTCGTTGATGTATACTTTGGAAATTTTTTCTATTAAGCACATTAGGATCAGGAAATCGTTCACTGTACAACTGCCTAGCTTCCAATAAATTGCCATCAGCAAGTCCATAAATGAAATGCATGTCAACCATATCTGCGTTACTATAGCCATTCATGCTAGAGAACTTCATTAACAAGACACAGAAAACGCACGTCAAATTGTCAATCAGTTTCAACCTATTCAACACATACAAATGATCACTTACGAGACATACTATTCAAGTTGAAAATCTGCAGCCGTTTGTAGTAATCGGAATGTTGTTGATAGGTACCAACGGAATTGTTAGATTTTTTATTACTTGTTAGGTCCAGTGTAGTACGCTATACTTTCATTTCGGATACGTTAATAGTTACAAAAATACCAAAATTGTTATTATCGAAATTTTTTTTCGCCCCGTATCTTCTGAACAAAGCGCCCTATGAAAAATTAGCAGAAGACAAAATTTCCTTAGAATAGTCCAAGGAATAGTCCCTTAATGTGTTGCCGTCTGTTTAATAAACACCCTGTATATCTAACGCAAAAATGATTGTTCATGGAATTTTATATACTACAGAAAGTAATAGGTGATTTAAAGAAACCGGAAGCAGACTCAGATCATACTTTTGTCTAAATATAATAGTTTCATTATTCAGCTCAATTTTAGCTTTTGTGAAATTCAGTTAGACGAAAACTATAAAAGATTAGCAATAAATTTATAAGAATATTTTCTAGTATAGAAATATGGGCTTTCACCGCTGGCGCAGTTTTGGATGGTTTTCTGGTTTTGCCGTGGCCTTCTTTGGTTATAATCTCCAAACGTTTTAACTGCAACTACGGCAGTCATCTTCAGTGGCGTGGTCGATGTACTCTTCTTGACGTATCAACTGATACTGTTGTGCCTAAATAGATACCCAATTTTGAGTTAGGAATCAGCCTACTTCATCCCATGCAGAGGACAACTTGGTTGGGGAAACGCCCAGAACACCAGAAAGTTTCGGTGTTTGGAACAGGGTTTGTTTTGGGCCCGTTTATATTATTTACATTTCATAAATATTTATTATAAATACAGCAGTTCAGAAGTACAATGATTTTTTGATATTTGGCATTTTTATATTCGGTAAGTATTGTTTAAATCTATAAATAAGAGCCAGGAAATTAATATTGAGGAAATCGACGATGTTAGTTATAAAACAGANAAATAAGAGCCAGGAAATTAATATTGAGGAAATCATTTTATGCCAAAAGTTCAGAATTCTACTAATCAATATTGAATAATGTTGCCATTTCCCACTCTAATGAACTACCACTGAGCGACGGAACTTCTGTATCATGGGCCGTCATGAATTAGGGAATTCAGGAGGACCTCGAAATTGTAGACAAATTAATTGCAGAGCTATACATGCGTCAAAATTGGAAGCGATAGTAACAAGTGGAATAGTGAATTAGGTTAGGAAATATTGCTCAACCTTTCGAAGAGTTACCACATCCATATCCATGTTTTCTAACTACGGTACAGGACAACCCAAATTATGTCCAGAAGAATATGACACATCTAGCAAGGACCTGTACAAACTAGTACAGGAAACAAACTTGCTGTTATAAAGAAAATGCGAGAAAAACGCAATAAATCCATGAGGCTGCAGTGCACAGATAATAACTACGTTTAGTATTCAAGGAACACTTCATTGCGAGATTGTCACTAGTGAAAATCTCACAATTTATTTGTTTATTGATTCAAAGGCAAATCCAATTTACAAAAACATTTAACAAAGTGTGAGGAACTACAAAGTATTTTTGAATGCTCATGTCTGATGTCTACATTGCAATTTACAATTTAACTAAACATTTAGCGAAGTATGAAATACAAAATATTAATAAATCCTTATGTCTAGTGACTACATTACTAAAAGATGAAACAATTCTGGTACTTACAAGAAAAGGTAAAGAAAAACTTCGAAAACGCTATAACCTTTTCAATTGATTTTTAAAGACCTGAAGTGATACATTGAACAGGTCTAAGGTATTATGATATTAATTTTCCAGCTTCAGAATACGAGGAATCAGACTGTTCAAAGCATAATTGGTATGGAACAAATTTATATGAAAAATGTTAGGATTTCTTGTATCTTTATGTTTGATATGGTGGTAAAAAACTACTGTACGAAACTTCAGAGGACGAATTGAAAGGGGAACATTTTTAGGGGAGGTTAATTTTTTGAGAAAGAAAGTTTTTGGCTTTCTACTTCTCCATCAATATGAGTCGATATTGAGTAAAAATCCAATAAGCACAGAATTTCTGCTCTCGACTCATTTATGATATACGCAGACGTCAAAAAATCACAGTTGTAGGGGAACCTTGCTTCCGCAAGTGCGGAACTTCCGCATGAAACAAATCTCCGTATTCGCGCCGGAGTTTCAACATGGTTTTCTTATGAAAGCCATTCCGCACTTCAAAGTTGAAAAACGTTTGTTGAGTCTAATAAGTCATTAACGTATTT